GCAGAATCAGATCACTCCATCAGAGTTCCTGAGCGTGGACTCTCCACTCCACAGGGTTCCTGAGTGCGGACTCTCCACTCCACCCAGGTTCCTGAGTGTGGACTCTCCTACCTTTCAGTGTGTCTTTTATCTAGCAGCCCCACTGTCTCTTCTAAATTAAGGATTCAAGGATGCAACCAGCTTTCTGGAGTAGTTACACAGCATTCTGTGAAGTATAAGTCCCAGAAAATAGACTAGTGCCTGTTTTGAATATATTCCATAAATCCTTCCAGATGATCAAAATATTTCTCTAGAAATTTGAGAAAAAAATGTAAGTTTGAGCCTGGCATGGTGCACACTGGTAATTCCAGCACTGGAAAGGCTGAAGCAGGGAAATTGAGAGTTTGAGGTCAGCCTGGATTACCTAGTAAAGATCTGAATAAGCAAAACAACCAAATTCGGTATCATAAAAATACAAAATAGCCCATCTTAAAACCCATGTTAACACATGGCAAAACTCAGACGTGTTCTGGTTACTGTTTGCTATGGGATGCGCGCATGTCAGAGCCATCCAGAAAGAAGGTGGGTTCCATGGCAGCATTCACACCTCTGTGGTCAGCAGGTTCCTTCTATGGCATCCTGGCAGCACGGCACAGCCTTCTCAAACCCGAAACCCCTATCTTTCCATGCAGTCCTCCCTCGGTCTCTCATCCTACAAATGCACAGGATGGATCAATGCCTGTAGGCAAATGTTGGTCCAGTGCCTCTGAGCTGCTGATACAGAAGATCTAAGGACCTAGAAACATACATATTAAATCTACCTGGGCTAGTGATGGAGGAGGGGCAAACAGCCTACTTAAAGACACTGTAGTCTGATGCTCTGTGGTGCACCTGCTCAGGCTGGCTCCCATGGATTCCTCTACTCTTGATCAGTTCCGATGCCATAACCCCTCCCTACCTGGGAAGCCTGGAACATGGAGTGACTGCTGAGTTTGGAATCTATCAACCCTCTGGGGAGGGGGAAATGCCTTCTTTTTTGCCCAACAAGGAATAAACACTGGGACAGAGACTTAAATCATCATTAACAAGGACTTTTTAAATTGGAAAAATATATTTTTCCTCGAAGAGGACAAAGGCTGTTTAAGTTGACTGGAGCTTCAGAGCAGGCAGCTGACCGCTTTTCTTTATTTTCAGTAGTAATTGTGAATGAAGGAATACGTAAGAAAATGTGAGCCCCTTTTTGTTCCCTGCGGCCCATGTGGGCTGCATTCAACGGTTCTCAGAAAACAGTAAGACATGGTGCCTTGGAAAACGCATCAGATAACGACAGAAAAATGCCTCCATGTTTCCTTCTGCTATTAACTGCTAGGCAGCCTTCTCAAGTGGGTGTCCAGCTGACTGAACCCTCATGACCAATGAAAACCTGTGAAATCAAGTGCCCGGTAATAAGGTACATGATGCTTGGCTCTTTTGAGCTCCGCTCTACCTGTTACGTGGTTCTTATTTTCACAGTGGTTTTTATGGTGGCGTGTTTTTGGAAGCAAGGTCTCATTCAGCCTCCACTGGCCTTAAACTCACTCACTATGTAGCCGAGGATGACCCTGTCTCCACCGCCCAAGAGCCAGGAGCTTATGCAGTGCTACATACAGAGCTCAGGACTTCCTGGATGTCAGCAAGCATGCTACCGACTGAGCTGCATCCCCACCCTGTTTTTATGTGTTTATTGCTCTCTTTCTAGCACATGGTGGCCTCTAGTTGCCTACATTTTTCTTGGGTAGGGGTTACCAGCTGCTCAAACCCACACAGCTGCCATGGCCTTCAGTTCCCATTCAGAACTTCTGAGGCTCTGTAGCAAGAGAATGAAGTCAGCCTCATTTTAGAGGCAACAAGGCTGCCAGGCACTCACACCCATTGCTGTGAGCAGGGCTGCCCCGTGTCCTCCCTGTATGATGGTTATACCTGCTGTCTTAGAATGTCATTCCTTGCACCTAAGAGCCAGGTGTGAGTGAGGTGTTGGTACCAGACTGGGCCATTCCCCCTCAAAAGACTCTGGGGAGGGTCCCTCTTTATCCTTTCCTGGCTTCTGGGGTTTTACTAACCATCCTTAGTTTGTGTTTGCATCCTCCAGCCTCTACCTCTGTTGTTCCAGAACTTTCTTCAGGGTTTTCTTCCCATGCCTTTTCTGTTACATGGATAGCCTCACTGAGCTGAGGAGCTGCCCTCATCAGTAGGACCTCTTCTCATCTCATTCTTCCACAACCTTTTAAAACATCCTCTTTACAAATGAAAGATCACGGCTGAGGTTCAAGGTGGATATGGACCAAGTTTGTGTCTTGACGCTCCTTTCAACATCTTCATTCTAGAACAACCTAGCCTTGACAATGGGGTTCACAAAGGTGTGCGTCTCCAAAGGGTGATGATCACGACAGGTGCCCTGAAGAACTTCCCTGTTTACTTCTTGGCTTAAAGTGTTCCCCCTGATCAAAATAATTTCTCAACAATTTGACTCAATCTTCAAGACTGTGTCTTAAAGTCTCCAAGGGACTTTTCTCAAATAGTCATGAGGAGGCCAGCACACATTTGAGTCATCTGGCTTCAGAATATAAGAGGCCTTCCACAAAACCATCTGCCCCAGGAATTGGGGGTAGTTGGGAAAGAGAGTATTTCCTTGGGAAGCTGCTGTTGCTTCTGTAAAAGTTTGCACTCCTTGGGTGCTGTGCCTCTGCTTTACACTGTGGTTAATTTGCCTCCTCCTTGAAGTTGTTCTCCATGGGGGATGCAGTGAGACACGGATGGAGAAAGGGGAAAGTTTGGGGCTGCGAACATCAACAGAAGGATGTGTGCTCAATCCTCGGAACTCAAGTAGAGAGCAAGGCGTGGTGGCATGTGTTCATAAACCCAGCTGCCGGCGAGGCAGAGACAGGTGACTAACTGCCAAGTCCCAGGTCCCAGTGAGAGACCCTGCCTCAAAAAATAAGGAGGTAAGCTCTTAAGGAATAACTCCTGAGTTTGACCTCTCCCCTCACACGCATGCACACACATGTGGGTGCACACACACACACACACACACATTTGGAGGAGAGATAGAGAGGGTGGATCACCAAGGAGCAGTGGGGTTGAAAGGTAGGCAGCCCACAGGTCATTAATTCACACTTGCAAGTCTATCATGCACCCATGTGACAAACTGAGATTGCCCACACTTTAGAATTTTGTGTGACAAATGGGGCTCAACTGAGGGCTGTGCTCGGAAAGATTCTACGGCTGCATTTGGGCAATACGGGCAGAGGGCCACGAGCGTGCCACGGTGCAAGACACAAGCATCTCCGGTGACTCACTCCACAGATTTGTTGTTCCTGCATGGAGCTTTTAAAGGACCATTCCTTAAACGTGTTGTTGCCAGACATAGGTAGCAGATTTTCCTGCTCGGGTGTAAAAAATACACCGACAACAAAGTCACAGTAAGGAGCTATTTCCATGCCTCGCTCTCCCCGTATTTCTAAAGAGATCTGGTGGTGTAATGAACACGTCTTGTGATTTTGAATCATAGCTTCTCCCAGGCGAGGCACTCACATCTATTTATACATGCTTGGCGTTGGTTGTGTAACGCGGGTTGCTGAGTCTGTGCCAAATCAAAGCTAAGTGAGTTGGAGCTGATGATGATAAATGATGGGAGTTAGGTGTGAGGGTCTTCTAGCCCCATTCTGTCCACAGAACAGTCGCAGCACTGTGGGTATTACTCCAAGCCTCACTACCCTAAGGTCTCCTCGAATGCAGGGATTATGATTTCTGACTCTGATCTCAGACGGGTGCAAGACAATTTGAGTCTGGGGATGGAGTAGCAGTGGCCCAGGAAAGCCAGAATTGACTACAGGAAACCATCCTTGTCTGTTCTGTGGTCAGAGCCCTGGCAAAAAATAGTGATGCTTGCATGAGGAGGACACTGCCCAGGAAACCCAGCTCCAAATACTAAGAACAGACACCTGACGTCTCCAGGGCCCAGCCACTCTGAAGATGCCAAACAAGGAAACATGACACCCTGAAAAGTCGGTGTCGCTCCTGGGCCTCTGAGACAGCCTAGGGACTTGGACCTGCTCCTGCAGCACCATCTGCAAGAGTCCAGGAGAGCCAGTCAAGGTCATCTAACCTCGCTGGCATGCCGTGAGCATGTCAGAAGGGACTTGAGAGGCACTCAATGGAACTGTGCTCTTAAGAGAAAGGGTATTTCACTAGCAGCCTAGAGTCAGCGGGTCTGAAAGGGGACAAAGGCCCCCTTCCCAAGTTCTCTAGAAAGGAAGTCTGCATGGGGCCAAGCAAGGCAAGCTCCAGATAAGAGCTCTCAGCTCCCCCAAGAAGAGATGGACAAGACCTACAGGACATGAGATTGTCCCTTCCTAGGCCAGGCAGGAGACAACAAAGTGGAGGGATGTACCTTGAAATCTATTTAGTCCAGTGTCAGGAATTCAGGTGGCAGTCAGAGGTGATGCGGGTGGAGCTCAGCTGGTAGTGTGCTCAGCACACACAAAGCCATGGTTGGATTCCCGGGCACTGCGGTAAACTGGGTGTGGGGGAGCAAACCCGGAACCATAGCCATGGGAAAGGTTAAAGGGTCAGACCCAAGAGCACCCTCAGGTGCTCAGTTCATGGGCAGTCTGAGGCAGGAGACCCTGATGAAAAAGGAAAGTCATGGTGTGGAAGGATGAGGTGAAAGAGGCGCTTCCTGGGATCCAAAGGATGGTGTGGAAGCCAGTGGAATTTCTATTTAAGTTCATATAGACTGTGGTGGGTGGGGTCAGTGTTATAGCAAGGGTGGGCTAAGGGAGGAGACACTGCAGTGGGTTGGGGTCACTTTCTGTGGGGAATGCCCCACAGAAGACTGTCTCGAAGCAGGTCTACTTATCAATGTCACGATGTGCTGGCAAAGTCTACACTTTGCTAACACAGCCCTTCTTCAGCAAGTCTTCGTTGCTCTGAGTTCTAAGTAGCTGTGGCTTCTGTTGATTTGAAAAGTAGAAACAGAAGCCTAAACTAGCACATTTTTTATTGTTTCTTCCTTGATAAACGTCAGATTCCATGTGGAAGCTCATTTGGCTGGACTCAGTTATGTGTGTTTATTCCAGAAAGTAGGGGAGAAGCCAATGACCAAGTGATTTCAGAGCCAGAGGAAGGAACTTGGGTGACGTCAATGCTGTCACGCTGTGTAGCAATGCAAAGATGCTTGCAGCCACAGACTGTGTCCTGAACAGGACTAGGGCTTGTCCTCCACAGGGTAGGTATTAAAGGCTTGGTCACCAGCCTACACAAGGCGGTAGAGCATCTGACTGGTGGGACCCGGTGGGAGGCCGTTAGGCCACTGGGGGCTTCTCCTTGAGAGCCATGATGGGATTCTTGTCCATTTCTTTCTCTCTCTGGCTTCTCAGCTGGCATGATGTGTTCAGCTTTGTGTGTCCAACCATGATAAAGTGTGCAGTCACAGGCCTAAGGCAACCGAGGTAACTATGGAGTGAACCACAAGCCTTCCCTTCTAAGATACCGCTCTCAGTTGTTTTGTTATGGTTGGAAGACGCTGACACGTGCAACCAGATACGTCAAGGGCCGTGTGTTTCACCGAGGGTCTGTGCCGGGAAACTGTAGAGAAAAGTTACTTGTTTAAAAGGTGAAGAAATGGGTAATTAATTTTAAAGAAGAGTGAAGGAGCTGGGGAGATAGCTCATTGGTATTGCTTTTTGTGCAAGCCTGACCACCTGAGTTCATATCCCCAGAGTCCTTCCTTGGAAAAGTCAGCTACAGTGAGCATGTATGAGCCCAGGAAATGGAATGCTGAAAAGGGAGAACCCATGCAAGCTCATGGACCAGCTGGCCTATGGTACACAGCAGTGAACAGATCCTGTTCCAGATGAGCTAGCCTATGGCACATAGCAGTGAACAGATCCTGTTCCAAATGAGCTAGCCTATGATACATAGCAGAGAACACCAGACCCTGTTCCAAATGAGCTAGTCTATGGTACATAGCAGTGAACACCAGACCCTGTTCCAAATGAGCTAGCCTATAGCACTAGCAATGTACACCAGACCCTGTTCCAAATGAGCTATCCTAAGGCACATAGCAATGGACACCAGATGCTGTTCCAAATGAGCTAGCCTGTAGCACATAGCAGTGTACACCAGACCCTGTTCCAAATGAGCTAGCCTATGGCACATAGCAGTGTACACCAGACCCTGTTCCAAATGAGCTAGCCTATGGCACATAGCAGTGAACAGATCCTGTTCCAAATGAGGTGGGAAGGAAAAGACTGACACCTGAAGGTACCCACTAGCCTCCACATGTGAGGCCCACACCTGTACCCTCACACAATAACATGTGTGCACGTATGTGTGTATGCATGTGCACACACACATTCACTCATACACTCACACTCTTACACATATACACTCATGTCTCTCTTACACATCACACACACTCCTCTCTCTCACACCACAGATTCTACACTCACCTCTCTCACTTATCTTTCCCTCCCCCCTCTCTCCCTCTCTCTCTCTCCCTCTCTCTCTCTCTCTCTCTCTCTCACACACACACACACACACACACACACAAAGAGTTATACATCGCCTCTCTCCCTACCCTCTCTTTCTCACACACACACAGTCATTCATACAGTCTTACACTGAACTCCCTCTCTCTTTCACACACACACATATGCACACTCACACATACACAGTTATACACCACCTCTCTCCCTACCTTCCACACAAACATACACAGAGACACACACACAGTCATTCATACACAGTCTTACACAGAACTCCCTCTCTCTTTCACATGCACACACATACACACACACACACACACACTCACAGAGTTATACATCACCTCTCTCCCTACCTTCTCTCTCACGCACAAACATACACAGACACACACACACAGTCATTCATACACAATCTTACACTGAACTCTCTCCCTCTCTTTTTCTTTCACACACAAACACACACACACACACTATAAAGAGTCGACAGACAAGGAAGAAAGCAGGAGTTATGAGCAAATGTGTTAACCTTAATTTGTTAGTACTTGTAGCCTGCTATCACCAGGACCTGCACAAGCACACAGTGATTCAAGTCCATGTTTTCTGTCATTCAAACATTTTCCATGAGTTTTTAGGAAAAAGACTCATAAACAAAATGCATAGAAATTTGTGAGCGATTTCTTGATGGTGGGTTTTTTATTGAAAAACTTTCATCTGTATGATATTTGAAAGCTTCTAGGATTGATTCTGAAGAAACAAAGACATAAATTGTCCTGCCTTTCCAGAATTTGTGATGATGTGAGACTTGCTGGGTTTAATGGATCTTGTGTACACATACATACATATATGCAATTATATGTATGTATGTATGTGGTGCTAGAGATTGAACCTACTGTAGCGAGCATGCTGAGCAAACCTTCTAACCACTGAACTACATTGCAAAAATATTTTTTGAGCATCGTCTTTCTCATGCTGGCCTTGAACTTGTGAATTTCCTGCTTCAGCCTCCCTCTTGCTGGGTGGGATTACAGGTATGCACCACTATGTCTTGCTTTAACTTATCTTCCTATCTAAGACTTTCATAACCCCACAAGGAAAGAAAGCTTCAGAAGCTGCAGTAAATGAAAAGTTTGGCTTGATCGATGGTGTAAACACGGTCAGACTGCAAATATGTGTGGATCAATTTTGAGAAAATTTTAACAAACTTGCACAAGTCTCAAAACCCAAAGGCACACTGTTCTCATTATCAACGAGCAGGTAAAGCTCTTCCTTAGAAAAAATGGCATTTTCGTTTTCAACTATTTGCATTTAAAACTGTGTGTCATGGTGCACACCTATAATCCCACCATTTGGGAGGCAGAAATGGAAGGATCAAGAATTTGAAGCTGTCCTAGGAACACTAAGGCCCTGACTGAGGAGAAAGATTCACTGTCCCCTCTCTGGCGATGAATTATTTATCTACCGTCATTATGTGCATGAATAATTTTAACAAAGAGAAATTGTCATTGTCTTCATTCCTTTCCCTATCACTATCGTTATTGGCTTCATTTTATAATTATTGATAAAACCAATCTAGCCATATGGTAGGAGAGGTGTCAAAATCCAGTCCATTCTGGTTTCAACTACACTAGCTTGAACAGACAGAATTCTGAGGCTGGGGAGTGGTTCTGCCTATTAAAGATGATGTTTCAAAAGAATAATAAGAGCATATAATTTTACTTTAAAATTACCATTAACACTGGCTTGGCTGATGGCTGGCTCAGTGGTTACTGAGGACCTGGTGTTCTTTCCCAGGGCTCATGTAGGAAAGTTCACAGCTCCCTACAGCTCCAGCTCCTGGGAATTCAGTGGCCTCTTCTGGCCTCTGAGGGCACACACATTCATGTGTCATACACACGCGATACACAGGCATATACATAAGCAGGAATAAATCTTTAGAAAAACCAGCATCAGTGTCTACAGACTCCCCGTGATTACCTTTATCACACAGTAGATATTGTCCACTCAATTCTCTTCGTGGCTGGCAAGGAACTGTCCTGAGTCCCGCTAGGCACAGCCCCTGTGTTCTGGTGAGACTCCTGGCTTCCACGTAGGTTCTCTGGTTTCAGCCCAGGCCCAGGCCTAGGTTGGACTGGGGAACCTGGGTGATTTGTTCTGCCATCTTCCTCCTGTCTCTCTCCCCCTTTCTCCTAGGAACTAAGTTTCTCTCTCTGTCTGACCCCACACTGTCTTGTCCTGGCTCCTTCTCGGTCCCCTCTCTGAAGGCTGTGTGACCCTCCAGGGACAGCGGGTTTCAGGTGTAAATAGGACTAGTTTCACTCACTCCATCTGTCACTTACTAGGCACACGATCTTAAGCCACCCACGTTCTCAGTCTCAATTTTTCCATCTGTTGAATGGGGGTGGATTTTAAGGATAACCAGTTACTTGCTTGGAAAAACCTGTCTTGTATTGTCTCAAAGAATCACCATTTGGCTCCTGGCTTTGGTTGTCTTTAGGGATCCACACTAAACTCTAGGCAAAGTTACTCGGGCAGCTGAGCTGCAGAGTAGACTGTGCTCTAGGCTGTGAGGACTAGGGCTCAGATCTGTCAGCGATGCCTGCTGTGGAAGAAGGATTTAAGGGTGTCATCCAATGGCTTCCTAGTTGCAGTGTCTGTTTTTGCCCCAGTTACCAAAGCCAAGAGGTGCCTGGCACTTGCAGGCTCCCCTTTGCCTACGTGCATGGCCCAAACTGGAGATAGAATCTGGCAATTCAAGCAAAGGAAAATACAGCAATTGGCCGTTTTGAAGGAAAGCAGTTGGAGAGGTGGGACCATGCCAACTTATCAAGAGCTGCTTGGCAGTAGCAAAGAGGAAAGAGGCTGGCAGGTCTGCTTCAGAAGCAGGCTAAAGCCAGGCACTGTGCAGTTAGCTTCTGATGCTTAGTTTTCTGCTTTCTAGTAGCAAGTTCCCAGTTGTCTGCTGGAGAAGATGTGCAGACTGGGACAGGAAGTTACCATGGGGTTTCTGCAAATGACAGTGGAGCAGATTGAAGACCAGATCCCTCCTCCATGACCCCCAGACTCAGCGAGCTTTGCCCACACACTTCCCAGGCCTGGTATCCACATAGAAAGCCAGCATCTCTGTATTTATTTACTGTTTTTAAAATATCAACTCTTTATTCTCAGTGACATTATCGATACCATCATCACTTTGAGCTGTCTTTTGCATCAAAACTTAAATTTTGCATCAAAACTTGAGCAAAGCGGCAATGTGGCCCAGGCTGCAAAAGAGAAATTATTTTTAATTCTGTACCTGTCTTTTAGGTTTTTTTTTTCAGACAAGGTTTCTATGTGTAGTCCTGGCTGTTCTGGAACTCACAGAGGTCCTCCTGCCTCTGCTTTCCATGTGCTGGGAGTAAAGGCGCGTGTTAGCATCACTGTGATGGTCTTTGTAGTTGTTGTTGTCGTGATCTGACAGCCTCCATTGTGCTTGGCTCCCACTGCCCAGGTCACGGGCTCTTCCTTTCCTTCCCTTATTTTCTTAGATTATCCAAAATATTTTCATAGTATAACTATTCAGATAAAAAATTACCTGTGCTTTTCTGAACTGTATTTTCCTTCTATTTTAAAGGATTCTTCTCCCAACAGGATTAAGATACTTTTCCATTAAGGGCTTAAAACACACTCTTCCCTTATCTCGTTGCTGCCAGAGGTCAGCCATCAGTTTCACTGCCAAGCCTTTGGAGGCAGTGGGTTTTCCTGCGTGGCTGCTCACGAGATTCTCTTTTATTCCCTCTGACCATGGTGTGGCCAGGTTGCCATTCTTTTCATTTCTGATATTTGGAGGTCTTTGGGATTCTTGAACCAGGGCTTAAATTTTTCAGCTAACAGTGCACGAATTACCTCATTTGCTCAGTTTTTAGCCTTTATGGGACCGCATGTATTGAACATGCTTACTGTGTGCATTGTCTGTTATGTGAAAATGTGTTCATCATTTATCAAAGTGCTTTACAATTGATATCATTGCCTTGACAGCAAGTTCTACTGCATGAATGCTCTTCTGTGTCTACTCTTTTGTAAACCCTTTCTATTAGTCTTAATTAGCACCACCCTAGTTAGTGGGACCAGCAGTAAGAGAAACACTTGATGCTGAATGTTAGGCATGTGTTGGAACCACAGACTCTACCATCTAGTGCCCCAGAGGGTCCCAAAAGTACATTACCATCTCAACTTTACAATTAAGAAAGGTTAAGGTTTTTTTTAATTAAAAAAATATTCATTTCTTATGATGATACAGGGCATGCTAGAGGACTTATGTACCACTGATCACATGCCATGACATGCATGTAGAGGTCAAAGGGCAACTTTATGGAATCCACTCTGTCCTTCCATCTTTTCACAGGTTTTTGGGATGAAGGTCAGGTCTTTGGGCTTTGTGACAAGCTCTGTTACCCAATGGGTCATCTTGTCAGCCCCAAGTTGTTGTTGTTGTTGCTGCTGCTGCTGCTGCTGCTGCTGTTGTTCTTCTTCTTCTTCTTCTTCTTCTTCTTCTTCTTCTTCTTCTTCTTCTTCTTCTTCTTCTTCTTCTTCTTCTTCCTTTTCTTCTTTTAATACTATTTGGTGTTTTAAAAACCATAGACTATATATGGTTCTCTGGTGTAAGTTCACATTTAAAATCTACTTATGTCTATTTTTGAGTTCGTGCCTGATAACTCCAATATTGGGGGTCACCTATGCATCTTTTATTTTAGTCTGATTTTTCCTTGATTCCCAGTCACTCGGTTCTGTCCCTGGCAGCCCTCACAGTCTTGGGCCGAAAGCATTATGGTGAGTACTCTGAATGCTCGTGGGGTGGTTTTATTATCTTCCAGACATTGGTGGATTTCCTCCTGCCAGAAAGCTAGAACACAGGAAGCTACCAGGCTCCAACACTGGAGTAAAAGGGGTTATTGACAGGCTGACTTGGTAAGTCACATTATGGGAGTCCCGTCCTGTCACAGTGAGCACTGCTTACCAGGGCAATGTATAATGCTGACCGTGTACATGGACCTGGGCTGCTGGTCATTACATATGGAATTCTGGGGAGTCATTCTCTGCCACGACTCTCATAGCCACGCCGTTGAGAGAACACACAGAAGGTCTTTATCCCAAAACTCTGGACTTCAGGAGATATACAGCAGGAAATGGTGATCCCTAACTCTCCTCCTGGAGGCAAAATTTGTGGGGCTTCACTCACTATCACTCCTAACCAGAGTGACATTTGAGATGAATTGGGTCACTTCCAGGACACCTCTGATGTGGTGCCCCAGGCACGGGGTGCTTGGTGCTAAGCAGTGGAATAGAACAAACGGCAGTCTGGTCTTTTGAAATGAGTTCAAGGGTACCTGGATGATGTGGGAGTGATTTCTTATTAATAAAGAAACTGCCTAAGCCCCTTGATAGACCAACCCTTAGGTGGGTGGAGTAAACAGAAGAGAATGCTGGGAGAAAGAAGCTGAGTTGAGGAGTCGCCATGATTCTCCCACTCCAGACAGGCTCCTTTCAACAGAGTGGCGCCCAGATGTGATGGGCTAAATCCACTTAAAAACCTGAGAGAGCTTAATTTAAAACAAACAAAAAAATTATGAGACTGGATGTTTGTGTTCCCACTTGGGATCGGAGGAGAGTGCTCTGAGACCTTGCCGATGGCTCAGCGCTCCCCGCCTGCACCTGGGCAGAAGGCAGAATCAGGCTTAGGCAGGCGAAAGAGCATGGTGGATTCCTGCCACCATACAGAGACGTATTTTCAGACTGTGCAGTGCTCTGCGTGTTGGATTTGGCTGTAACTTGGATGAAAAGAGTTTCTGTGCTGCACACTCAGTCTCAGAGTTAAACTGCTGACTTCGGCGCCAATGTGGACTTGCTGTGTGCCTGGAACTGTGCTCAGCTCAGGGGCACCAAATGGATCTGAGGCAGGAGCAGCTGCTCCATGCTGAACTGTGCTGACCTCAGGCAGGAACTACCGTAATTGCCATAATAACAGCGCAGTTAAGGTTTAGACTGGGCAGGACACAGGCAGTACTGTATTACCTGTACATGCAACTTAGGTTTTTAAGAAGTGCTTAACATTTTAAGAAATGCTCCTGGATAGTGAAAAATTACAGATTCACAGTAAAATAGATTCAGACATAAAAGACCTTTATGGATCACATTGTTGGATGAATGTACGTAGGCTTGGGAAAGAGAAGAAAAAGAATATAAAGAATAAAGTTAATGTCTTAAAAAGAAGAAGGGTAAAGTCTTTAAAGAGACAGAGTACAGAAGTACAGATAGTTATAGATTGAGAGAAATAAAGAAAAATAAGCCACGTAAAAATGGAAAATTCACAGAGAGTCTGGATTCTTTGTATTATTGTGTTTTCTTTAAAATTTTTGACTGTGAAGGAGCTAAGTACAGAGAGACATTTCATTATATGGGCTGCCAAGTGGAACCAAAACGGATATCATGAGGGTATGACTTCAGAATTTGGGTCTAAGGATATGATGCTTTGGAAAGGGTCTTCTTTTATTTTCACAGAGGATGAGACTCTATGGATTTCTTCTATCCCAATTTGGTATGATAGACCACGTCCTCCTGAAAGATTGCTGTGAACACCCTCAAAAAATTACTTCACTCAACTTCCAACTGAGATGAACCTGGCACACAGGTTACACCCTAAATGATCTGATTAACAGTGCCCCCATTCAGCAGGAAGCAGTTTGGAGAGAAAAAACTACGCCCATATTCCCAAATATTGTTTATAAATGTTCTTTTACATTTAAAGGGGGATATGATATAGATATGAATAATTTGCATTGGTATGGATTTTATGGTCAATTTTGTTATATGTGTATGTATTTTTGATCTTGATTAAGGTATTGTGATTGTGTAGTTCATTTAAAAATGTAATGTATAATTAGGAAATATAGGTTGTTAATGGATAATCATCACTAATAGTTAAGCTTGTAGTCATGTTAATTAGATTTTCTAGATATATAGAGATATATTTCAATTAGATAGGCATTCTTCATATCTTTCAAAGACTGCAGAATATGGCATTTTAAATGTTTTAATAACTTAGGACTTTTCATGACAATGAGACATGTCTGCTTCTGGCAGCACCAGCTACTTTGAGAGGAAGATGGGCATCGAAGAGGATCCTTATGGAGTTGGATAGTCATTTGGGCAAGAAACTGCTCTTGCCTGGACTGTTGCATAAACTGAACACAGAGAACCCTCAGAGAGAGGACTGCTGAACTTGCCTAAAGGTGAGATGGTCTTTCGGGGTTCCTGCTTCATGAAAGAGTCTGTGAGACATTCTGCAGGACACAGCAGAAAGTGACTGAACTGTCTTTGGAATTTCCTGCTTCGTGGAGGTGTCTGCTGGATACTATGGGCCTGAAGGCTGAAGATGGATGTCCCAACGGTACAAAAGAACTTTGGGTGACCGTCCAGGCAACGAGATGTCTCTGTCGTTTATTTCTTATTTGCTTAGGTAATATTATATCCTTCTGGAGTCTTTGATGGAGTTGAAGAATGAATAGATAGTTATAGTTTTCCTTAGTTATAATAAAAGATAAAATAGATATAAATATTGTAACTGTAATTCTTGCTTGATAACTGTTTTGCTATATGTAATTTTACTATGTTAAAATGAAATCCTTCTTTTTTGTTTAAACAGAAAAAGGGGAAATGATGTGGGAGTGATTTCTTATTAATAAAGAAACTGCCTAAGCCCCTTGATAGACCAACCCTTAGGTGGGTGGAGTAAACAGAAGAGAGTGCTGGGAGAAAGAAGCTGAGTCGAGGAGTTGCCATGATTCTCCCACTCCAGACAGACGCAGGTTAAGATCTTTCCTGGTAAGCCAGCTCGTGGGCTACACAGATTATTAGAAATGGGTTAGATTAATATGTAAGAGCTAGTCAATAAGAAACTGGAGCTAGCCTGGCCAGGCATTGTTTAAAAGAATACAGCTTCCGTGTAATTATTTCGGGCATAAGCTAGCCATGTGGGCGGCTGGGTGCCGGGGATGCAGCTCCGCTGCGCTCCTATCACTACACCTGGAGATCTGTGTTTCAGGAGGCTTCCCCCACCTTCTCCGTGATGAATAAACACAGAAGAATCCCATGGAGGTGCAGAGCAGGGGATCAGGAGAGTGCCAAATTGTCATTGTCTTAAAGTTGCTGGTAATCATTTCCCCTGAGATGAAATTTTGATAAAGGAAACAAACAGAGGAAGATGGAGCCTATGATTTTGATGGCAAAGGAGAGAATTAGATGTCATACGGAAATGGAGGCTCTTAAGGTCAGGTTCTACTTCACAGTGCTTTCGGGAAGGCGCAGAGAGAGCAGTTGCCTTTGAGGGACTGACAGACACCACCAGTGTGAGGATGCCCACCCCTGCACTGTCTTTTTTGAGCCCTTTCGTGTGACCACTCAGCAGACACACTGGAAGACAGCGCAGGGCCTTTACCCCTCCCCATCCTTCATAAACCACCACTTTGCTTGATTTTGAACATGTGATAATTATGTCGGGATCTCGAGGAAGTCCCACGAACTTCTCTGAATGTCAACAAGAAGCTGAGAGAGGGTTATAGATTGTAGACCTACTGTGTGGTTTTCCCTTTACCAAGAAATTTTTGTTTGCAAGCTCCAACCCTGAACAAAGAAGAAGAAACTCTTTTTTTCAATTTATGACAAGGATGCTTATCAAGCCAGTGTCACCTAGAGAGAGCAAAGTTGTTCATGGATGGTGTAACGGGAAGTCTGTTTAACATGCACAGACTCGCAGTCAGGAGAACCGCTCCTCAGTCCCCAGTCTCAGGCCAAGCTTGCTGGCCGCCTGGCTTTGCTTCCATGTTGAACTGTTTAGAGATTCTAACAGGAAACACTGACTTCGTTTCCTTCTTCAGTCTCGAGTATTTGGGGTACAGTTGAAAATGCAGCTATCCTGTCATGGTGTAAAAATGGAGCTATCCTTCTCTGGGTTGGCTGCTCTCTGCGTGTTCCAAGGGTGTTAATGAGCACAGAGTGTTCTCTGTGTCTGGCCAGTGCAGGGTGGCATTGGAGGAGAGATGACATCCCACGAGGTGCTGCGATGGCATCTCGGCTTTCGGCGATCACCATCCTTGCCAGGGTGACAGGCTCACCCAACTGAGTCACCTCCTATGTCATCCCGTGACTGCAAGAGCGTGGAGGAATATTCTCACTTGTGGCCTGCTGAGGGAACTTAATTCTAGACGATGCTGTTAATGAGGGAGGTGATAGAAAGTTCTGTACTTCCAAAGACTGGGTCTGAGGAGAATGGCAAGCCAAGTCTCCTACATCAACCTCTAGAAGCTTCACTGGCTCCGGGATTTTCTTCTACCAAAGGCTTTTTATAGATTCAATGCGATTCCCCATCAAGATCCGATCAAAGTTCTTCACAGATCTTGAGAGGACAATAATCAACTTTATATGGAAAAACAAAAAACTCAGGATAGCCGAAACAATCTTATACAATAAAGGAACTTCTGGAGGCATTACTATCCCTGACTTCAAACTCTATTACAGAGCTACAGTATTGAAAACAGTTTGGTATTGGCATAAAAACATAGAAGTCGACCAATGGAATCGTATAGAAGACCCGGATTTTAACCCACAAACCTATGAACACCTCATTTTCGATAAAGGAGCTAAAAGTATACAATGGAAGAAAGAAAGCATCTTCAACAAATGGTGCTGGCATAACTGGATGTCAACCTGTAGAAGAATGAAAATAGACCCATATCTATCACCATGCACAAAACTCAAGTCCAAATGGATCAGAGACCTCAATATCAATCTGAACACACTGAACCTGATAGAAGAGAAAGTGGGAAGTACCCTACAACAGATGGGCACAGGAGATCGCTTCTTAAGTATAACCCCAGCAGTACAGACACTGAGGGCCTCATTGAATAAATGGGACCTACTGAAGCTGAGAAGCTTCTGTAAAGCAAAGGACACTGTCACTAAGACAAAAAGGCAACCTACTGACTGGGAGAAGATCTTCACCAACCCTGCAACAGACAAAGGTCTGATCTCCAAAATATATAAAGAACTCAAGAAACTAGACTTTAAAATGCTAATTAACCCAATTAAAAAATGGGGCACTGAACTGAACAGAGAATTCTTAACAGAAGACGTTCAAATGTCCAAAAGATACTTAAGGTCATGCTCAACCTCCTTAGTGATCAGGGAAATGCAAATCAAAACAACTTTGAGATATCATCTTGCGATTATTTTCAGACACTGAAAGGGAAGTTCAAGGGCCCAGGCCCAACCTCCGACGGAGCGCCATCTGGTGGAGTTGCTCTTAAATACAAGCCCTTTGGCAGCACGCCCACTGCCTGATTTTAAGCATTGGCTCAACCAGGTGAGTGACCATTTTCTAAAGCCAAGAATACTGGTCTTGGGCTGCAAGGCGGTGCCTGCTAATTGAGTAAGGGTATTCCAACACTCAGAAACTTAATGTTCACACTTTTCAAAGAAGAGAGAGTGTATACTGGGGTGGAGATCGTGGCCGTGGGGGAAAGACAGGTAAGGAGGAAAGAAAAGTCACACATCTAGAAGTGTCCATAAGAAATCAGCACTACCAGATTAATAGATGTCCTCCTCAAGCAAATAGAAGACAGATGCCCTGTCAACGGAAGGCCTCAGAAACAGAGGAATCTGCACCTTCCTGCACTTTGGTGGGGCCAGCACTGCAAAGGACATCAGTGCTTCCCACTTTAACAGCTGCTCTGTGTAGCCCCAACAGGAAGCATTCAGTCTCCGATCCTCCTGATTAGAGGCAACTTGCTGTGATTTCATAAGGTATATATATATATATACACACATGTATATGTGCACAAACATATGTGGGGGAAACCCACAAAACCTCTGCTCAGATCAGCATCCACCACCCATCCATGCAGTGACTTTTCCCTGCGTAGTACCGACTGGTAATTTGACACAGACCTGTCTTATTGTCACACAGCTCTGGAGGTCTGAGTCTGAGATCAAGGTGCCACCATGGCTGTTCTCTGTCTGGAGAGAGTGTTCCATGTCTGTCTCTGTTTCTGTGTTGGTGACACTCTCTTGTGTTCCTCTGCTTTTGGACAGGTCACTCCAATTTTAGGGGTCATGTGGTGTCCTTATTGTGTCTTCCTCTGTGCATATCAGTCTTCACACGGCATTTTGTGCCCTGTGTGTCCCTTCCATTCTTCTTATAGGACACTTTTCTGGTATTGGATTGGGGTCCACACTCCTCCCACATGACCTCACTGTAACTTACATCTTTGTTGCATCAGAAAATATCCCTTTTCCTTCAGAAGAACTGGAGGTCAATACGTACAATCTGTCCACAGGAAATAGGAAGGGACAAGCAATAACCACAGGTCTAACTCAGTTACAGTGCAGTTCCCATATCCCCAGTGAGACTACTGTGAACAATAGGCATACCAGATAGCACAATGTCTCACTCTGATGTTTGTAAATCTGTCCCACCCAGTACCGCAGCCATTCAGTCCCAAAGAAGCACACAGAGGCTTATATTAATTATAAATTGGCCTATTAGCTCAGACTTATTATTAGTTAGCTCTTACAACTTAAATTAACCCATAATTCTTATCTATGTTTGGTCTGGTGGTTGGTACCTTTTACTAGAGAGGCATTCTTATTTTGCTTCTTCTGCATCTGGCTGGTGACTGCAGACTGAGCTTTTCCTCTTCCCAGAATTTTCCTAGTCTGGTTGCCCCACCTATACTTCCTGCCTGGCTACTGGCCCATCAGTGTTTTATTATACCAATACAAGTGACAAATCTTTATAGGGTACATGGGCACTATTCCACAGCACTTCACTATTTTTCTTTTTTCTTTTCAAAACAAGAACTCTGAATCTAATCTTCTTTGTTTAGCTTTTTTCCTGACCATTATAAATAAGAACTGTAATCAACAATCTAAACAAAGACAAGCATATGCAATTCATTTGGGGGAATGTGGGCCTAGTTTTCTAGGCTACTTCCTGCTGATTGGGGGTACTGATAATCTTATGGGGACCTAAAGAAAATTTAGGATTATGGTCAAGACATGACTGGAGTATTCTGTGAGCCTGGAACATCTCAGCCATCAGTTTTAAAGCTGTTCTGGATGTAGAACTCAGAGGAATTGCAACAGAGATGCTTCAAAACATTGGATCATCTGGGCCATCTGCTCCTATCAGGGATTTGGTCAAGGTATTCCTTGATTAAACTTTATTTTTCTTAACCCAGAAGGAATTCACAGCCATTTATCCTTTACATGGCAACAAGCCAAGGAAATTACAAGGGGATGTCCTACTTGTTCTTTATACAACAAAACACCACTACATTTTCTCATTCAGAGATTCCTGGAGGCAGGTTGCAATTTTGGACTGTGGTAGAGGTAAAAGTCAGTGGCTGGTTCCTTTGCTTTTCTGACCCTTAGATTGAACCTCAGTTTCTGTCTCTGAGTATTTATGAATCGTGCTTCAGATGTTGCTTTGATGGCATAGAAATATAGATATTTATAATTTATTCTTATTTTTAAATTGCATGTATAAATGGATGTCATTGTGGGGGTATGCACATATGGGGGCATTCACAGAGTAAAAGGAGAGTACCAGAGTCCCCGGAGTGGAGTTCAGGGGTGGTTGTGAGCTGCCGGACATGGTTGCAGGGAATCAAACTCAAGTCCTCTGCAAGAACAATACGCTTTTAAACCACTAAGCCACCTTTCTGGTTCCCCAGAGAGATGCTTTTCCTCAGAAAGGTTGTCAGGGCCCATTATGTTTTTGGAGCACCTTTAGGTTTAGGTCACTTTTACTTGTTCTGTTTGGTGGGCATAGAAGAAACTGCTATGACCCTTTGCATTTCCTGAAAGAGCTGCTAGAAATGTATGCACTTTCCTCTGAGTCCTTTTATTCAGGACTCCTCTTGGACACATTGTCTGTTCAATAGATCACTCATATGAGCCTGCTTTAAAGCATGCAACATTCAGACACATGCAATGGTGAGTGCTTTTCTTAGGCAAACCCTGCACTCCTCCCTGCAAGCTGCGGCTTAGCCTCTCACCTGTAACTTTTTGATTACTTCCTTAGGCAGCAGCTTCTTTGCTAGATGCTTTGTATGCATTATTTTGTGTGATCCCTGAAATAAACATGAAGAAACTATTATTTCCATTTTATAAAGGGAGAACCTGAGAGTTGGGGAACTGGCATCTTGCCCCAAGTTACAAAGCTTGTTGGCAACAGAGCTGGGATTTAAAATCACATATATAATCAAAAATGCATTTATTAATGATTTTCACAGTGACTAACCAATATAGTGCAATCTCTCTCTGTGAGTGTGTCTGTGTCTCTATGTATGTGTGTCTTTCTCTTTGTGTGCATATGTATGTTTGTGTGTGGTGTAGTGTATTGTACATGTACTGTATGCATCGTATTCTCTTGAAACACTGTCTCTCACTTGAGGCAGACGGGCACTGGATATAGTTGAGCTCAGGACCCCATTGGGTTTTGGTTGTGCACATAAACTCCCTCTTAGCAGCCCAGTTCCCTCACTTGCAGGCACTATGCACACATATACCCTGCAGGCACTATACCTAGCCACCTCAGGGCTTCCCAAACCCTACCTGCATTGGGCTGCATATACTTCCATATATAATCTTCCTGACACCTAGTAAGAGTCTAACTTGAACAGTTTCTGTCCAAGTGTATTTCCAATGTGTGTGGGTATGGAAAATAGAAGGGCCCATCCGGTCTTAACTAGTTTTAGGGGTGTGTTCCTCGGCAAACTTTTCAGCAGAATTCTCTATTCACCATCACATGCCTGTGCATAACTGGGTATGCATATGATTAAAATCAGATGCATTTTGGGAAGAGACATATGTAGGAGGAAAAAATAAAGATATGATCTATCAATCAAAATAGAGAAATATCCACTCTCTACCCCTAAGTAAGCCAACTTCTCCTGAACCCCACAAAAGAAAGCCTGAAGAGCACGTGGGGATCATGGGTCTCACTCCCGTGGCCTGCTGGGGATCATGGGTTCTCCCACGCCTGTGGTCCATTACCTGTCATAACAGTGTGTCCTCTATGTGCCAAGTATCAATTTGCTTCAAATAAAATCATCTCACTTCTTTTGCAAATATGTATGAGTTCTTCCTTTCAGTTCCTTGGATAAGTGGCACAAAACCTGGAAACACATGGCCTACATCCCGACCACTGCTGACAAGCCAGCAACTGGCAAGCCCCACAGTCTTCCTGTCTCAAGCCTATCTGGGTTACTGCTACACCCACATATTTGTTTGAGTGGTGGATATTTGAACTCGGGTCCTCCAGCCTGCACAGGAAGCCCCCTCCCCACTTTTTGTTTTTTGCACCGATATACCTCTTGCTTACAAGAAAAGTGACCTAAGTTTAGGTGCGTAAGGAGAATCTAATTCTGATCATGGTTTCTATTGCTGCAATGAAACACTGAGAGCAAAAGCAACTTGGAAGGAAAGTGTTTGTTTCACTCTCACGCCCGTACAACAGCTCATCGTCAGAAGCAGTTAGGGCAGGAACTTGAACAGGGCAGGAATGTGGAAGCAGGAATGTGGAGGCAGTGGAGAAGTGATGTTTGGCTTCCTCCTCATGGGAGGCTTTTTCAACCCGCTTGCTTAAAGCACCAAGGACAAGCAGCCTAGGGGTGGCCCCACCCACTATGGGCTGGTCCCTCCCACATCCCTTATTAAGAAAATGCCCTATAACTTGTCTACTCTCAATCTTATGGAGCCAGTTTCTCATTTGAGGTTCCCTCAATTCTGATAATTATAGCTTTTGTCAAGCTGACATGAAATTTGCCGGCACATGGTCCAAACCCATTTCAAAGGGCCTATGTCTTACTGTTGACCACTAGGTGGCGCTATGCCAATTTTCTCTCCAAAAGATCTTGAATCCTTCAAAATATATTAATGAACTCTTGGTCTGTCTTTGGACACTCTAAAGTTCAAATAATCTGCAGAGACAGAACCTGAGGGAGACCAAATAAACGCAGCTGGTCTATTGAGTGTTTCTCTGGGTTTATGAAAAGTACACTAGTTGCATAGAGATTTGTAGATGATGATCAATCAGTCATGTGCTGATACACAATACAAAAACAATACCAAGAACCATACCAAGGTCATGGTCACCATCATCACAAGATAACTTATTATTCACTTAGGTCCAGGTGGAGATGTGGCAGCGTTTGTAAGATATTTTATATTCTCTACAGACTATGGATCTGCGAGTGTTACCCTCAACCTTGTTGGACACAGTGATTCACCTACTTATCAAACACACATTCACTGTTGGCCTCCAGAGTCCTGTCCTGCGTTAGGCATGACATATGTACCAATGAATCAAAAGTCAAGGCCGCTGCTCGCAACATGGCCTGTGTTATGGTAAGTATGTTGCACACACACGCTAAAGGTTCTGGGAGAGGGGAGTGTGTGTGTGTGTGCACATGAGTGTGTATGTATTCAGTCAGTTCTCATTACTGGTAAATCCCATATTAGTCTCTTCACAAAGATGAACTCACAATCTCAGGGCTCTCTTCTGCATCATTTGAAACACGGAGTGGTTCAATTGTGAATCACCCTATATGCCCGATTCTGTCTATCTTCATCTTGTGTTCATGTCTTAACTGATCTATCTCCCCAGTCCACGTAGTCCCACAGTTTTATATTTTTATGGTGATTTTGCTCTTCATAGTGCCAAGTGCTGTCTCGTGTGTAAAAGTACAGGATGGCTGAGATGTGTCTTCTGGAGAAAACATGAGTTTCAGAGAAGGCTGTCATAGTTCCGTGTTAGTGAGCAACAACAGGTATTAAAGGTCTTTAAATAAAACATATGAAGTAGGGCTGTGTGTTGACTGTAATAAAAGAAAACTAGGCCAAAGGATTGTGGAGGCCAACGTGGGCTTCCCTTGGGGCAATGACTGAATATTGTCAATTCAGTCTCCATGGTGACTTATGTCTACTTTGACCGGCAATCATTGACTGTGTGGGCTTGAGTGTGAGAAGCCCACATGGCCCTGGACAGGGCTACCATGGACACACATCCCTATGGCTGCTGGGCAGGCTCTCCAGTGAGTCATACACACAGAGAAGAGGAGGGGGTTAGGAATGTTGGAAGACTTTTCTGGCTGGTTGGAGGCCACAGTCTGCCATAGCCTGACAGCTTCTCTGTCTCAGAAATATGGAAACTGCCTCCTTCTCCAGCAAGGCTTCTGGCTCTCTGTCTTCCTGTATCTGGAGAGTGTCTCTGGGTCTGGAAAACTGACTCTAAACCTGATGCCTGACTCATCTTTAGCTTGACCCTTGGCAAAGATCACTGCTGAGAAGACTTGGAATTGAACTCTGCTGTAGGACCCCACTGCTGTGGACTAAGCCTGTGACAGGAGTGTGCCACTTACTGAAAATTTGGGCTTGTCCCCAGGTCCCCAATTCTGTATATTCCTTATACTCTGGAATAAAACTGCACTGATTCGCTGGAATCTGTCTCCGTCAGTGCTCATGGGCTGGATACAGAGCTGTGTGGCCCCTTTTTCCTCTTTCCCCTCTCAGACTGATGCCTGACAGGCCTGGAGGGGAAAAAGGACCCCCATAGCAAAGCTGTCTCCCCTCACTGCAAGCACCCACATTGCTGAGGGAAGGGGGAGCAATTGTCCATTTCTAGGGTGAATGAGAAAGTCAGTCGCATCACGGGAGGTTTTAGTACTGAACTTTCAGAGATGGTAATGATTTTAGAAATAATTTCTTTAATTTAGCCCACTGTCTATTTCCCTACCCTAACCAGAACCACCTTGCCTTGGTGACTGCAAAAGTATTTCTTATCGTATTCAGCAATGGAGTAAAGGATGGGGACATGTGTCTGTCTTCCTTCCCACAGAGCCTAGGTGAAAGAACACGGACAAGGGACATCAGCTGAGAGAGTTCCTAGAGCTCTCCAAAGAGAAATCAATCCAAGAAGTATAGTGTCCAAGGTTAAGGACCCTATAGCCAGCTATGTAAAAACACTCAAAGCTGGAGCCAGGCACGGTGGCCACACGCCTTTAATCCTTCCACTCCGGAGACAGAGGCAGGCTATATCTGTGAGTTCGAGGTCAGTCTGGTCCATAGAATGAGTTCCGAGACAGCCAGGGCTAGACAGAAAAATCCTGTCTCAAAACAAAACAAAACAAGACAAAACAAAACAAAACAAAACCCACACAGAACTGGACCTCTAAGTACCGCTTGAGGAATCTCTCTTGATCAGGACTTGTGAAAAATGTTGCTACCTACGTAAAGGACTCTACTTTCCCACCAGTCAGAAACCAGGAAGTCGACTCACAGGCTGGAGGGAAAGTAGCGTGTAAATACCTAACACGGAACCACTCAGAACCGCTCAATGATGCTTTTGTTCTCTATCGGGAAAATGATCTTCTTACTGAGGACGTGTAATTAAAAGAAGCTTAGAGAGATGTGAAACCAGAGAGGAAGCCCTGCAGCTCTAACCCTCTGATAAAGGCCGAGATAGCGAGAGCAGTCTGACAGAGCTGGGGTGTGGGGGCTGGGCGCCAGCGCGCTGGAAGAAACAGGACGCCACCAGAGAAGTGGCACATCTCCAACTGGTGTGATGTCTGAAAAACAGACAGGTAGAACCCGAGGAGGCTAAACAAGTTGGCGTTTTCTCCTGGCGAAATATTGGAACCTACCATTAAGCCATCGGAGCGTAAGCATTGAGAGCAGGTGGTGCCAGGCTAAATACAGTTGCGTGTGCGTGTGCGTGTGTGTGTCTGCTCCTAGAGGGACGGCTCAGAAAGATCGTGTATGTGGATGGGAAAACACGAACTGGATAGTTCATGTTATAGCCATGTGTTCAGCAGTGCCTGACTGAGCTCAGACCAACTGCCAGCATTGGGCCACCACAGAAAAATCAGTGCTGGGGAAATTCTGAGCAAGAGGTTGAAAACTTACAAAATTTCTGCGGCTGTGCTTGACGGTGGGCATTCATAAAGATGCTGCGCTCCTGAGGGACCCCGAGTGATGAGACCCGGGAATCCTGGAGTCTGCTCAGGGCAGGTGCATGTCGGTCCCTTCACAGCACCGCACTCTCACGGCCAAGCAGAGGAGGACAGGGGTGGGGAGACAGCTTAATGAGAAACGTGCTTGTCACACAAGCATGAGAGCCTCAGTTTGGGGTCCCGGAGTCCACATAAATGGCTAAGCACGACTGTGTACATCCATCCCCCAGAACTCGGAGGAAGAAGGGGGAGGCTGAGACAGGCAGAGCTCCAGCCCTGCAGTGAGCTCCAGCCCCCTTGACAAGAGCCTCTTTCAAAAACTAAGAACACGGCACTAGGGAGAGGGCTCAGAAGTTAAGGCACTCACTGCTCCATCAGAAGACCAGAGTTGGGATCCCAGCACTCACGTTTAGCAGCTTACAAAGTCACCTGTAACTCCAGTTCCAAGATATTGATCATCCTTCCTCTGACCTCAAGATGGTCCTGTGCACACACAGGCACATATGCATCTGTACCTGCACATACACACATACATAAAGTATTTAAAAGCATTTGATAATATAAGGTAGAGCACAATAGAGGATACTTGATCGCCAGCCTCCACATGCATAAACACATGTCCATATACACCTGTCACACTTGTGCACATACATACATCACAGATACATATACAAAGGAAAACAGCTTAAGCGTTTGGTGGTGAATGGGTTAAAATGTGGCGAGTCGCACTTTGAGATGAAATATGCCTCCTAATGAGAGAACAGCTAAGAGAAAACGTGCCGTGGCCACATAACGGGAAATGCTTCTGCAATACAGAATGGAAGGATGTGCTCTACGTACTGACGAGCTTTCAGAATGGTGTTCCCTGTGAGAAGACAGTCATGGAAGACTGTGCAGTGTGCCATTCTCACCCTGTGTATGAAGTGCTCGGAACAGATATATTTAGGGAGAACAGAGGATCTGGGGTGGCCTAGGAAGGTTGAGGGGAAGGGCAGACGACTCCTAGTGGCTGCATGCCTTCTGTGGGGGTGATGAAAGGTTCTCAGGATGAAGGCAGCACTGGCTGCATGCCTTGTGAACATGTAACCCCAACCATACTGCACTTTAAATGTGTGAGTTATACGGTGTGTGGACTTTATCTCAACACACTTGTTTAGAGGGGAGCTGTGCCAGTGGGAACACTGAACAATACGGTCTGCTCTCTGGTGCCGTGGAGGAGGTTCCACTGAAGTATGTGTTTCCTGACCAGCCTGCCACGTTGCATTCCTTGGAGAACAGAACCTTTGTACTTCCAGAGACCAGCACAGTTCCTGGCTGGAGATGGTTCCTAAGTGTTGTGGAGAAACAAATCCTGAACAAGGACTTTTTGTGAACATGTGATATTGGATGCTTCTGCAAAGGTAACAGTTCACACAAAAGACCCACCTTCTGGGCCAGTGAGATGGCTCAATGAGTAAATGAACTTGCTGACAACCTGTGTTTGATTTCCGGAACCTACATAGTAAAGGACTCTCAGAAATTGTTCTGTAACTTCCACACAGCACCATGGCACATACATGAGCATGTGCAAGCACACACAGAAATAAATGAATAAAATATAATTAGAAAACAATTTTAAGACTCACTTTATAACGTTAAAATGCTAAATTTGTTTAAAATTAAATAAAAGAATTGAGAGTTTTATTTTTTCAAACACTTTTTCATTGTTGAAATATATATAGATTGCACAAACAACATGCAGACATTCCTTCTGTGTAGGCAGAGAGAGGACGTTCCAAAGTAAACTCACATGACCAAAGTTATGATGCCTTTTCCTGCTTCATCTTTTGCTGTTGAGCACCAGACTCTCATTTCATCAAGGCTCTCTGTAGCTTTGGAGATTGTCTCAGAAGTAACTCTTGTAGACTCAGCTGGCCTGGAACTCACTGAAATCCACCTGCTTCTGCCTCCCGAGTGCTGGGATTAAAGTCATGTGCCACCATTGCTTGACTTGATTCAATGTTCTTGAGAACATCCACTGACTACTTGATGGGTATGGATGTCTCTGAGGGTGGTCAATAGCAGATGTTGCTTAAGGCTCTTAGAAGCATCTTGTTATTTGTTTACTTGTTTTTATAGTGAAAAAATTGTTTAACAGAATTAGCCTGTTGGACTCAGTTTAGAGGATTCCAATTTTGTTAGCAACATCCAGAGCATCATACTCAGGACCCAGGAGAACATCTGCCTTCTCTCTGTCAGGCCGTATGAGGGTGTTGACTTTGGCAGCATCTAGGTCATAGAGCTTCTTCACAGCACATTTGATCTGGTCCTTGTTGGCCTTGACATCCACAGTGAGCAGTGTGCTGCCGACTTCTGTCTTCTTCCAGGTTGACTCAGTGGTTGGGAGAATTGGATGATGGTGTCGCTGTCAAGCTTGCTCCTCCCGGGTGCTCTTTCCAGGGTATTTGGGCTGCCTCTAGAGCCATGCGATCTTGGGCCACAGGAAGGTGGGAGACGTGCAGGTCTTCTTTTTGTGGCTGCGGACGTCTTTCAGCTCTAACTTCTGGGTTTCAAGACCTTTGCTTTGGCTTCGACTCTGGAAGGGGGAGGAGCTTCTGTCTTCGCTTTGAGGGCAGGGAAAGGCAAAGTATCTTGTTTCTTGAATGGTGGACATTCCATTTTCAAAAACTCATCCTGCCTTAGCTTCTCTGAATGAGGACTTAACCATTCAAGAACATCTGTAAGAGGGGGAAAAAGCTCCCTACTCAATATACAGTGTAGCAAGGGAACAAGTTGTCATCTTTGACAACCCAATGGTGTTACATCCAAAGGCATCCTATCTTAGTAAATGGGTTGCAGCTCATGCGTGGAGAAGAAAATAAATCTTTACTGAAGTGTTATATTTCACTCCTCAGAGAAGCAAAACCCAAAACTGGAGTAACATTCTCTTTGCTGATGGGATGCTCTGTGGTGCAAGCCTCTCAGAAAACCTGGAAATAGCTCTTAAAACGACATGCAGTGCCTTCTGGCTCAGCAATCTCACCACTAAGAATTGCTTAAAAAAAATCATCCTCTCAAAAATAAGAAAGGCTCACACACTAGGACTTTTCTGCTGAGGCCAGGAATAGCGCAGCCCCATCAGCAGGGGGCTGGCTGACTGCATTAAAACTCATCACACACTAGCGTGCTGGCAGTTAGGAGTGACGTTCTGCATGCTGACAGGAATGAGGGTCACAGCAAAATGCAGCCCAAGAACAGCACAGCTGTGTAAGGGGCTGTCCTTTCTCTAGTCTTGGAAAGGATAAAGGTTTACACACATGTCTGCTTGCTTTTCTAAAAATAATTAAGTAAATGAAGAATTACTGCATAAAAAAATACAATAGAGAGAATGTGACAGAGATCGCAGACAGAATTTTCTGAAGTGACCTTGTCTGGAAGTGGTGTGTGTGTGTGTTTGTGTGTGTGTAAATACATCAAAGCACAATAAAATAAACATGTTTTTAAAGATATAAAAACACACATGCATTTATACACACAATGCACACATGAATACATACACACAAAAGAAGCAAAATATAGTTGTAATTTAATTTACAAATATCAATATGAACTCATATGGTATTATAAATATTTCTTGGTTTTGTCACTATGAATCATAATTGGCCAACTCATGAAGAATATTCACAGGCTCCTGGCTGAGGTTTAGAAAATCTGTTCCATGATGCATGGGATGAAGGCTTCTGAGGAACGGCTGATTTCTCTTCAGAGGCAGGAGATGTGCAAAGCGAGCCTGGACCATGTTCTCAGACAAGAAGTAAAGGGCACTATCAAGGCTATGTTTAAAGGACACAGGAGGGAATATGATAAGCCCAACAAGCTAAGAACAGACTATTCGAGTATCAAAGGGAGGAAGAAGAGGCAGCTGTGACCACAGAGAAGGCTGGGGGAAAGGCTTAATGGCTTCTTTTGCAGAAGACCCAGGTTGAGAGCCCTGCACCTGCAGTAGCTGTTTCACAACCATCTGTGACTCCAGCTGCAGGAGA